CCTGAAAATGAAATGTTTGGGGGCATCTAAGTAATCCTTTTGGATTGCCTTAAGAAAAAAGAAGAGGTAAACTACTCCTATCAAAATCTATGCTGATACTATTAGGCATAGACTCAGAGAAGATAATAACATAGAAAGTCCAAGGGAAGTTGAATAAATCTCACTCAGGAGGGGAGATAAATAGACAGGGGTCGTGGCTGAAGAGAGGGAACAATGTGGGAGAAGAGGCACAGGGAGCTAAGAGGGTGGAGAACAGACCTGGGGGGAGCGAGGGCGAAAGGACAGAGGTCTGTGGAGGAAAAAAAAAGAAACTGAAGGGGGCATATGCCGGGGCCAGCCGGGCAGAGTCGAATGGTTCTTGAGTTGGGCGTGAGGATTAAAATTAATAAAATAAACACACAGCACACAGGAAACTTTTTAAATGTCCAGACTCGACAGCCACGGCAAAAGGCAGGCTGCTGCAGCAAGCAGTGCCAGCAGCAAGCCTCTAGTCTCTGCCTCCAACTCTGTCTCCAGCCTTCTTCTCTGTCTCCAGCCTTCTCTTTGTCTCCAGCCTTCTTCTCTGTCTCCAGCCTTCTTTCTCTGTCTCCAGCCTTCTCCTTTGTCTCCAGCCTTCTCTTGCCGTAACTGTCGGCCTGTCTTTTTATTGTAGAGTTTCTGAGCCAGAGTAGAAACATCTCAGAACAATAGGTTAATTTGCACAAGGAGCTAGAGGAAGAGGTGTGACCCTCACAAGCTATCCCACCTGCTGTCACAAACAAAAGGAGATGGACTTGCAAGTTCTCCTCTGCCATTAGTAAAGGCCTGCTAAAAGCCATCTCTCCACCGAGATTTAAATATCAAAGCCGGCCACTTGGAGTCATGGCTCCTGCCAGGCATATCTCTGTGACAAGGTGGAAGCCTAAGTCAGGATAGGCCCCTGGGAGGGTATGAGGGGCACTCAAGCAGAGACTCCTAGTAGCAGAGGCCATATAGACTAAAGAGGACACCCTCTAACTAGACTAGTGTCCTAGCAGTGGGAGGGGAACACCAACCCACCCACAAAAACTTCCATCCCAAATTTACCTGCCTATGAGATGTACAGGGATAAAGATAGAGCAGAGATTGAGGGAATGCCCAACCAACGCCTGGCCCAGCCAAAGACCCTTCCTATTGGAGAGAGTGCCAACCCCTGACACTATGAATGAAGCTCTCCTAAGCTTGCAGACAGGAGCCTGTCAGAGTTGTCCTCTGAGAGGTTCTACCCAGCAACACCTCAAAACAGATGCTGAGACTCACAGCCAAACATTGAGCAATATGTAGGAAGTCTTGTGGAAAAGCGAGAGGAAAGAGAAAATGACCTGGAGGTGACAGAAGCACCACAAGAAGACCAACAGAGCCAACTAACCAGGGCCCAGAGGGGTTTGCTGAGACTGAAGCATCAGCCAAGGACCACGCATGAACTGGACCTAAACCCCCTAAAAAGACGTAGCAGACAGGCAGCTTAGGCTTCGAGTAGGTCCTCTAGTAAGGGAAGTAGGGACTGCATTGGACAGAGACTCACTTGTCAGCTTTTTATCACTTTCCTCTGGCAGGACTGCCTTGACAGGCCACAGAGAAAGAGGACATTCTCCGTCCTGATGCAACTTGATGAGCTGTGGTGGATGGAAAAGGGAACTCCCCTTTTCTGAGGAAAAAGGGAGGGAGAAGTAGAGGGAAATAAGGTAGGAGTGGGAAGGGAGGAGGGATGGAGCTACCCCAGGGATGTAAAGTGTATTTCAAAAATTAAAAAATCTATGCTGAACTGAAATATTTCAATAACAAAAGGAACAGCATTGGAAATACAGAAGTAGAGTATCACATTTTCCTCAAAAAACTGCCAAGATTTTAGTATGATTATCCTATATTATATGTCTAATATCCACTTATAAGTAAGTATATACCATGTGTGTCTTTCTGCTTCTGGGATAGCTCACTCAGGATGATCTTTTCTACTTCCCACCATTTGCATGCAAATTTCATGATTTCCTTGTTTTTAATTGCTGAGTAGTATTCCATTGCACCACAATTTCTGTATCCATTCCTCAACTGAGGGACATTTGGGTTGTTTCCAGCTTCTGGCTATTCCAAATAAAGCTGCTATAAACATGGTTGAGCAAATGTTCTTGCTGTATACTTGAGTATATTTTGGATATATGCCTAGGAGTGGTATAGCTGGATCTTGAGGTAGCACTATTCCTAATTATCTGAGAAAGTGCCAGACTGATTTTCTCCCACTCTTTTTTTTTTTTTTTTTTTTTTTTTAATGCTTACAGTGTTCTGGCTCATGTACACCTGCTCACCAGAGGGCACCAGATCTCATTATAGATGCTTGTGAGCCATCATGTAGTTGGTGGGATTTGAACCCAGGACCTTTGGAAGAACAGCCAGTGCTCTTAACCTCTGAGCCATCTCTCCAGCCCCTCAGACTGATTTTCAAAGTGGATATTAGACATATAATATAGGATAATCATAGTAAAATTTGTACACCTAAAGAAGCTAATCAAGAATTAGGACCCTGGGCAAGATGATCAATCATCATTCAGAAAGGCAAATGGGATGGACATCGGGAGAGGGAGAAAACAGGGGACAGGAGCCTACCACAGAGGGCCTCTGAAAGACTCTACCCTGCAGGGTATCAAAGCAGAGGCTGAGACTCGGAGCCAAACTTTGGGCAGAGTGCAGGGAATCTTATGAAATAAGGGGGAAATAGAAAGATCTGGAGGGGACAGGAGCTCCACAAGGAGAGAGAAAAAAAATCTGGGCACAGAGATCTTTTCTGAGACTGATATACCAGCCAAGGACCATGCATGGAGATAATCTAGAACCCCTGCACAGATGTAGGCCATGGCAGCTCAGTGTCCAAGTGAGTTCTATAGTAATGGGAACAGGGACTGTCTCTGATATGAACTCAGTGGCCTGCTCTTTGATCACCTCCCCCTGGGGGGAGCAGCCTTACCAGGCCACAGAGGAAGACAATGATGACAGTCCTGATGAGACCTGATCGGCTAAGGTCAGATGAAAGGAGAGGGGAGAAGAAGAAGGGAGGGTGGGATTGGGAGGGGACTACAGCTGGGATACAAAATGAATAAACTGTAATTAATAAAAAAAAAGTAAATTTTTAAAAACTGCCAAGAGAGCTGGGTGAGGTGCCACAGCACACCTGATTTCGGCACTTGAAAAGCAGCAGGAGGATCAGAAGTTCAAGCTCATTCTAAGCTACAGTGAGTTTGGGGACATCTCCCATCACATGAGTCCCTGTCACCAGCAAGCCGACCAAGCACAACCAAAGCGAGACTGCTGTGAAGCGGAGTATGGCGGCGTGCATACACAGCTGCAGCACCTGACAAGCTGAGGCAGGACAGTTGCAACCCAAGGTCAAGGGCAGCCCGGGCTGTGTCGCAAGGCCCAGCTCAGCTTGTGCTGTCAAGTTAGACCTGGGTCAAGCAAGCACAACATAAATGCCACCTGATGTGCAGAGAGCCAGGGGTTGGGGACAGGCGGTAGACACGGGTGCACACCACCTCCCGGCAGTGAGTTTGCAGTTGGTGGAGGTGAATGTTCAGAGCTCGGAGGGCAGCTGTTGAGACAGCAGAAAGCAGAAAAGAATTGTAGTTGTCTGTGAAAGGTGGAATTTTGGTTTATTCCAACCTTGGAAGATGTATTAAAAATGTGCTGTTGAAAGGCAATATAATTTTGGGTATCAGCAAGGGTTATTTCACAGAGCACGTCTTCTCAAATAGTTTTCCTGACAAAATACATCCAAAAAAAGATCCAGGTTGCATGTCTCACATGGTAATCAAGTTTCCTCAGTAACAGCTTCTACATTAAGGCTTTGATACTGCACACAGATCCAGAAAGCAGCTCCTAAGCTTGGCAGTTAAGCTTGATTTAAAGAAAATACACAATTCTTAGAAACTGGCGGCCTAGGAAGTCTATTCTAGGTTCAGATGGTGGAGGAACTATCACTGTAACTAGACACTGACAGAGAAAAGACAGATTCTTCTTAGATGTGGAATTACCACAGAGACTTGCCAAAGGATTGTGGTGTGTGTGTGCGTGTGTGTGTATGTGTGTGTGTGTGTGCATGTGCGTGCGTGTGTGTGTATGTGTGTGTGCGCGTGTGTATGTGTGCGTGTGTGCACGTGTGTTTGTGTGTGGTGTATGTGTGTGTGTGTGTGTGTGCACATGTGGGGGGGATGTGTGGGCATGTGTGTGTGTGTGTGTGTGCGCGTGCACGCACTTTCATTTGGAGTATATTCAAATCTTGATCCACCTCAGGCCTCAGTAGCTTCAGAAAGGTAAATGAGATAGTATTCCAACTTAAAAGGTTTTAAGTTGTTAATTTGTGTACTCATTTTTTATTCATGTTAGTTTTGTGATTCGGCCTGTCTGATTAAACACACTAAGGCTGACTGGAGCAAAGTTTGCTATGGGATATTCACAAAAATAAATGCATGAGAAAGAAATTTTCTTTTCAGGAAGAGATGAGAAACTATTCTGTAGAGAAGATGTATTATATTTGAGCGGTTCCCAACCTTTCTAATGCTGTGACCCTTTCAGACAGTTCCTCATGTTGTGATGACTTCCATAACATGACTAAATATTTGGCCCAAAGCAAAACTTCCAGGCATCATGTCAGACTTTCTAGTCACGAAAATTGGGAGAGTCCAATTCAAGAGCTGCAAATACTAAAGAGGAATGAGCTGGCATCCAGATCACAGAGGAAACAAACAAAGTTAGTTTCCTGAGGAACGTGAAATGAGGTAAATGGGAAGGGTGGAAAATGGAGCAGCAGTCTCAAGCAAAGGTCACTCATGGGGCTTGGAGGAGGGGGCGGGGAGGAGCTGAGGTCTCACCCTTTTCTCCGCCCTCACAAACCCTCTATGACTCTCCCTTGTTCTGTGATGCATACCTGGGCCTACAATAGACCCATGCAACCTCAGAACTCAGATGCCTCAGGCAGCCATGTGATTCAGTCTATGGAGAACATCCTCTCCTTTCTGAATACGTGTACTGAATCATGGTTAAGCTTTGGATCAGCTTTCTTTGATACTGACTCCAATTACATCTTCTTGAGTGGAGTGGGGTTTATTCTTCTATACCTATGTTATGTGATATTGAAACCATCATTACCATCACCTTGGAAAAGTCAGGACAGAAAGGTGAGGATGTGTGGTGAACCCTGAGGAGATAGTCCTTATTGCTATGCTCTAGGACTGGATGAGCTTGGCTCTCTCAGAGCCCTGCCTGAGATGAGAGCCTAGTCCTAGGGTGTGAGTCCTGCCACAGGAGGAAGACAGGGAGGACTAAAGTTTTCATTTGGATCTTCAGTGTACCACTCTGGGTATGGAGAAAGGTTCCAGGGCAAGGGTCAAGAAAGTAGATACTGTGAAGGAGGATAGCTTCTCCTGATGAGCATCCCAGCTTAATTCTCATCCTGCACATACATTCATCAACTGTCCTCCAAGTTGGGGTGATCAGGAAAGCAGTGCTGACTACAGGAGCCTCTGAGCAGAACTGAAACCTGAGCTTTGTCCCACAGGACAGAGGGTCTCCAAGAGAGCACAGATGTTGCTGCTGGCCTCACATTTCTGACTGATAATCCCAAGTGCAGCTCTTACAGACAGAATCCTCCTTTAATTTCTCAAAGAAGGAAAAACAAACACCTAGCCACCTCTGAAAGTTAATTTAAGAAAGGATTAAATTTCATTAATTGGAAAAGATGTTATAGTCTTCTTGGTTTTTGAAGTCTCGGTTTCTTGAAGACAAACACTAGGGGAAAATTCCAACACCTTGTTCATTTCTCTCTGTCCACAGTGGCGGGGCACAGCTAAGAAGGGAAGGAGGAGGTCATGTAAAGGTGGGTTCCTGTCTGCTGGACTCCCTCCTCCCAGTTTCCCATCCTGTCATTTCTGTAAGGTCCTAGGTCTGTGACACAGGAAATAGTCCTTACAGGAAGACAACACGAAAGCCATGCCAGCATCAGCTCTCTGCTCTCCTATGGGTATGACGTCGCCATGCACCATCTGGACAGTGAGTGCCACATATGCAGTGCGCACTGTCCAGGGAGGACTATACTTTTATTTGCTTGTTCTGGAGCTGCAAGCTCCTGCCTCCTGATATCATCCACATGCTTGACACCTCTGAGGAAGCCAAGACATGTGTGCCTCACATGGTGTTTTGAGTACTATAACATGGGACGATGTAGATGAAGTAACTTTTAGACAAAGCCACATACATGTGAACCTTCTATTTTGTTTTGTTTCTGTGTGCAGCGTTGGCTGTTCTAGACTCCCTTTGCACACCGGGCTGGCCTCCAACTCAGATTGCCTGCCTCTGCCTCCCCAAGTGCTGGGATTACAGGAGTGCGCCACCATGCCTGGCTCATGTGAACCTTCTTGATCAATTTGACTTTGTCTATTTGTTCTTGCTACTTTCAGACTTTAACAGCCTAAATATGTTCCTTAAAAGGATTTCTATCTGACCATCATATTTCTACCTTTCTTCCCTACAACTAACACCACTGCGTTCCCAGGTTATCGAGCTTCCCAGAGACAAACACAGGAGCACAGGAAGCTGCTGTCTGTCGTGCAAAGGTGATCCCCCCTTCCCTGGGCCTCATTTTTCCTATGATCAAAGCATCACAGAGACTCAGCACAGCTTGCTGCTGTCATGGGAAGGCTATCCAAGGGGACAAATACATAAATGAAGAGCGTGGAAAGAGGCTATAGCCTCTCTGTTACTAAGCTACGGGTGGCATAAGATGAATAGATATACAGGCTTTGGGTGTCTCCATCACAGCTAGGCTGACAGGCCCTTTTCAGTGCTGGTTTTTACAACAATTAAAATTTCTATCTCCTGTAGCCCCATAGGTGAGCTGTATGATTGCTCCCACTTTCGGCAACTGCTATGTCCAGATCCCCTCTGTGATGTGTGTAATGGAGCAACTACTAAGATCAGTCGTCTGCTTTCTCAGGCCACCCACGAAGATGGTGCTGCCTCTGTATCCAGTGTACATTCTACAGTTTCTGTGACTGAGACGTCACTGACTCTGTCCTTTCCCCTCCCAGAAAATCCTATAGGACATCTAATTTCAGACCCTCCACAGAAGCCTTCTCTACATTTGTCCTCTATTATTTCACCTCACCAGAGTGCTCACTTGGAAGATAAACTTTCTGCCTCGTCACTGGATGACTCCCTACTGTCAGAGTCCATTCCTGTGAATGCTAAATTCCCACTGGACCATGACTCACTCTATTCACTTGACTCTTTCCCTCTTCCACAACAACATGCCACTCAGGAAACAGAACTGCTCCAGTCAGCAACCATTCTGTCTCTGGTGGGCAGCCCTAGGAAGCTGTTCACTAACGCCACAATAAACAAAGGCATTTGCAGTTCAGGGCCTGCGGTGTCAGAATTGATGCAGTATCAGACTGATGCTGGCAACTCTTCACAGTTGGAGTCAGCACATTCAGCTAACCTAGAGCTTTTTGACCTCCATTTTTCTGAATCCTACTTATGGGGAAACACCACAAGCTACCTCACATTGCCTGGAAACCTTCACTCTTCTAGCCCCAATGGCATGGCACTTCTAGAGAGGCAAGATGGAAGGAGAGAGGATTCATTTACAACTTGGGGGAAGATCTCAGAGTCTGATCAACAGAATCTGGCAGTTTCACATCCTCTGGAGAGCAGCAATGGCCAACGAGAGAGACTTCGCATGCACCAGCAGTCGCCTTATCCCAAGACTTCTGAAGACCAGCTTGAAGCCAACCCCTTCCAGCTCTTCTGGGGCCTCCCTTCTCTACACAGCGAGTCTATGAACTCTGTGGCTTCTGTGTGGGCTGACAGTTCCCACATCTCTGGATGCTTCAACAGACTTGAAGATTCCTTAATGCTTACCCCACACACACAGCTGTCCCTGCCTGAGAGTCTACTACAGAACTCGCCCCAACCTCTCTCTCCAGCACAGTCCCAGGCTCAGCTTCAACCTCCAATCCCAGTGCTTTCATCATCTCCTCGGTCCCAACTTAAAATCTGTGGGGTGTATTTTCACAGACCCAAGGATGAGGCCCCACTTCTTGAGCCATCTGCTGTGCACTGCCTGGAATACAACATCTTGAAAAAGGAACAGGAGAAAGTGTGGGGTTTACCCACTGTGGTCAAAACTTCCCAGGAAAAATTTTGTCCCCCACCTCCCAAACCCTCATTGGCCAGGCTGCCTTCAAAGACCCATGTTCCAAGGTCCATCTCTTTTGGAAATTTCCTCCTCACCAATGAGCTCCAGAAGAAACTTGAGCACCACCTTCGAAAGAGGCTCATCCTCCAACGCTGGGGCCTTCCCCAGAGGGTCCTGAAGTCTCGAACATGGATGAATCCTCAGGCAGAACTTCCAGAGCCATCCTCATCTGCAAGCAACTATGGGCTTTCATGGATCTCTTTCTTTAAGAAACATAGCAACAAAGACTTCTACAGCATTGCATTGAACCAACCCGGAAGCTTTCCAGCAAGGCAATCAGGGGAAAAACTGTTGAAGGAAAAGGGACATAGCCTAGAGACTGTTCAAAAACACCAGCAATGGAGGAACATCAAGGGCACTCTAGATAATGGCCTGCAGTCTGACGGTAAGACAAACCTACCACACCACTCAGGCAGTCTTTCAGGAAAACCTTCAGGGGACTCAGAGGTGAGCCAATGTCAGAACAAACTTGAAACTTCTCTGCAAGAACTTCTGATCAGGCCTCTAAATAAAACAAATGAGGGTCAGGTCCCTGGCCCCATGTCCAGGTCAGGACATCATCCTCTCCCTTTTTCCTCATGTGTGAGCATCAAAGATCACAAGGCCCAGAGACAGACACCTTCTGATAACAAGGATGAGCATATTGAGAACAAAAAAGAGAATGACAAAGTCTGTTCTGCCACAGACATCCATTATCTTAGACAGCACCAGCCTGGAAAAGTCAGAGGACAATAGACACAGCCCAGATGTGCCCAGAATGTCGGCCAAGACTGGCCCTGTGCCATTGGGCAGGAGATTAAGTTCTGAGGAAATAGTCAATAGGCCTCAAGGAGCAAATATGAATGACAAAAATGCATATGTATCCAACAAGATCAGTAACATAGTCAAGGGAGGGCAGCTCAGTGGTCTTCAGCTACAACCTACCAAGATCTTCAACACCAGCCAGTATGAGAGTGCCCAGGGGGCAGATGGGAATACAACAGAAGCACAACGTACTCTGTTATCTGGAAGGGCCATGAAGGGAATATCAGGCCCCCAGGAAACTCAGACATCTGACTTGAACAGTCAGGTGTCCAGGGAAGAGAAATTTAAATCAGAGAGCAGTCAGCCTATCCAAGCTCTAGAGCCCCAAAACAGTGTGCTCCTTGTCTCAGAAAAATTCAGTTACAACGTGTTACTCAGTCAGGACCCTTCCAGCAGACCTGTGGATGCTGCTCAGGTGCGGCAGGTCCGCTTGTCCACAGCAGGGCCTAGTGTGGAACAGCAGCAGGAGCCCTGGATGCCTCCATATGTCTCAGAGAAGGGCCAAAACAAGGAGCTCCCTCCATCTGCCAAGAAAGCACACCCTCCAGCCTGCAAGCCAGGAGAGCTTGGTGCGGGTGATGCTTTCCTTGGCCAAAAGGAATAGATGGGAGACAGTGGCAGACAGGTCCGAACAGTTTCAGGAATGTGTGACTTTACAGAAGACGCTACCGCGTCAGAGGCAGTGCCCATCTATGCTCCACAGTAGCCAGAGCCTCACCAATATCTCACAGTAGCTGTCATTTTGACCAGGTACCTTCAGTTTCTCCCCTTAGTTGCAGGCTCTGTGTCAGGAAGCTGATCTCAATTTTACAAGAGAAAATGTTTTTTTCCCTAATTTCTATCAGAAAATTTTTTTTCTCTCCTCAGCATTCCATCCTTTATTGACAATACTGATTACCCCTAATAAATGTTCTAATAAAGTGTCTGTGTCTGTGTTTTCTCCGTGTGACATGGCTTTCAGGTAGTGCTTGTGCTCAGGAAAAAGGACAAGTTAGTTTTGCTCTCACTTACTTCCTCTTTGGGCTTCTTAAGTATAACTTGACTCTCTAAGGCTCTTTTTGGAGAATTGGTCTGATATGTCCCTAAAAGGGCTTTCACACTCTAGTGATTTGGAGAGGAACTCTGCTTCCTATCTCTTAGCTTAGCCCTATTGCCAGCATGTGGCAGCCGACACCTTCTTCCTCACTGACTTTCATATCCTTGAGAGCAGAGGTCTCCTTAGTAGGTATGCCACCTACAAAGGACAAGTATATTTGTGAGATTTGGAAGGGGTGATTTTGTTGTAGTTATACCATGTACTTTGACATTTGTACACACATCCTCCTCTTCTCGCTAACTCCTCCATAAACCTTGTGCTGCTGTGCGGGGAAGGGGCTGAGGCCACAACGCGGTATGGCTGCTTAACTCTGGTCCAGAAGACGGCTAAAAGGAGAGTAACGTATTTCTCCTCTGCTTAGCAGATATTTATAGAATTATCAGCACTTTAAAGGGCTGGCCCTTTAGCAGCTTTTAAAATGTCTACCCTCTGAACCAGCAAAAAGCTCAGTAATGATAAAGCCAAAACAGTAATGAATCTTTTTGCCTATTGCCCTACTTAGCTTGTTTAAGCTTAAATCTTATTTTAAGTTTTTTTGTTATAACCAAAAACTGAAAACCACAGTCAATGAAATTGTCAACATCACAATGAGTGTCCATTTTTCCCCTAGTTTTCTATCTTGTCTGTTGGCTTACCTGCGTTGACCCCTATTCATTGGAAGATTACCTATATCTTTCAAGCCGCAAATGTCAACTTGCTTATTTTATTTGTGATTTGTTTTATTTAGGTATCTTAATGTTTTAAAAAAACAATTACATACGTATATATCTGCCGGAGCCAGCCAGCAGAGTCAAACGGTTCTTGAGTTGGGAGTGAGGATTAATATTAATAAAATAAACACACAGCACACAAGAAACTTTTTAAAGGTCCAGACTCGACAGCCACGGCAAAAGGCAGGCTGCCGCAGCAAGCAGCATGAGCAGCAAGCCTCAAGTCTCTGCCTCCAGCCCTCTGACCTCTTTGTGAGGAATTACTTTTAGCCAGTAAAACATCTCAGAACAATGGGTTGATTTCCACAAGGAGCTTGAGGAAGAGGTGTGACCCTCACAAGCTATCCCACCTGCTGTCACAAACAAAAGGAAATGGACTTGCAAGTTGTTCTCTGCCATTAGTAAAGGCCTGCTAAAAGCCATCTCTCCGCCCAGATTTAAATATCAAAGCCGGCCGCTGGAGTCCCGGCTCCTGGCTCCCGACAAATATCCACTAGGCTGCCCCACGTGAGCCTAAGGCTTCACTTGCCCTTTACTGCAAGAGTTTCATTTTCTACTAGAAAGGTAAAGCACCCCAGTCTTTCAGTAAATATATATCATCTATCCAAGATCTTGTAAGAGTCAGTGAAATGTCTCTAGGGCTTAGGGAGATAGATTTATAAGTGACCAAGCCAGGTAGGCATTCTTAAGAGTAGCTTCAAAATATCTTTTCTTTTCACCTAAAGTTTTATGGTGCAAACTGAACATACTCAGAGACATTTCTGTTTACCACTTTAATCATTTATGTATTCTGAGACTGAACTAAATATGTCCCCCCAACAATGAGTCTAGAATAGCTTAAACTGACAATGCTTAAGAATTGGTCTGTTCATATATGGGTACAAAATAGCCTCCTATAGTAAAATCACTATGCTTTCTCTGTTTGGGGGAGACAGTGTTTGGGAAATTATTCCCATACTCTACTCAGTTGCTGCAGACAATCTTGTTCTACTCTTTAATATGATTGTGCCTGTTCTGGCTTCACATTCACCAAATTGTGAACTCAGTTGCATTTGGTTACATCCCCAAGACCATCTGCTACAGACTGGAAAGCAGAGGCTCTCACAGGAGTCCGCTCGTGTCTTTTCACTCCAAACTATGACAGAGCTTTACTTTGGCAATATGAATAGTATCCATTGCATCATCTTAGAGGGCACGGCTAATCATAGATCTTTCTAGTCCTCTTTGGTGACATCCCAGTATCTGGCAAGCTGAACCTGAGGCTCAGTGGCTCTATTCTATACTATCTCCCAGACTTGATGTTGGATGATCATTTTCACTTGATGTTGGATACGTTAGATTAAGCCTCTCCTAGGAATCTGAGGCTCAGGCAGCGGGTGTATAGGCACAGCCTGTGACAAAGGAAGATGTTCAAGCCTTCTTAAGAGGTGTCTGAGGTTTGGTTCCTGTTCCACTACTTACCACTGATACCCTTGGTAGTTACTCGGTGCTAATAGAGCTCCGCTTACCTTCATGAGAATATAAAAGTGAATACTTTACATGGCATCAACTAATAGATAAATTAGGCTCAGCTAGAGCTGAGTTTTGTGTTCTTTTTTTAATGTGTAGCCCAGCCTGGCCTCAAACTCATGATCCTCCTGCCTCCGCCTTCTTCAGCAAATCTTACCGGCATGCACCACCACAGCCAGCTAGTTTTGTGTTCTTATAGGTTGAGATACATGGTTTAGACTGTAGGAACATTGTGGTGGTTGGAATAAGAATATCCCCAGCAGGCTTGTGTATTAGGATGCTTAGTCACCAGGAAGTGGAACTCTGAATGGATTAGGAGGATTGGGAGATGTGGCTTTGTTGGAGGAAGTATGTCACTGGGGTCTGGTTTAGAGGTTTCAAAAGCCTAAGAGAGGCCCAATGATAACACAGGTTTCTAGAGTGTGGCTAGTCTGAGGAGTTGTCATGGTAACTGTGGGGCCAGTGAAAGAACTCATAAAACATGCTGAGCCACCTGAGCATCCTTGACTAAATATGTGTGAACCACACCACTGTCAGATAACTTCTCCCCAGACTTTAAGAGCCCTCAATAAAGAGGACAACCTGCTACCTGCAATCTCAGAGTCCGGATGAACTGTGCTGCAAGACCCCATAACCAGCTTTTCTCAAGGTGAATCATTGAGTGGAATCATTAATTCCATAGATATTTGAGCAGCGAGGTCCAATACTAACACAGATGTGCAAGTTGCTTTGGAAGCGGAGTTGTGGCCAGATGCAGGGTCCTCCATGGAAGTCTCTTGCAAGAATCGACTAAGAAGACACTCTCACATGGGAGGGTGGGTAAGAGTGGGGGAACCATGCTTTTGTATATCCCAGGCTCACCCGGAACTTCCTGTGTAGCTGAAAATGGTCTTGAAGTTCTAATCCTTCTGCTTCTACCTTCAACATCCTGGGATTACGAGGGTTCTTCATCATACCTTGTGTATGCAGTACTGGAGTGCAAACTTGGGCTTTTTCGTGTTAGACGTGCACTTTATACACCACTTGCTGGAGCTGAGGCTGTGTGTAGCATACATTCTTACATGTTCACAAGATCCTTTTGTGATGGAAGTCCTGTTGCACAAGCAGCAAAAGATCGAAAACAAGGACATTCTGCTGCTAGTGAACACAAGTGTATCTGCACTAGCAGTGAGAGAAAGTGTAGACCACATTAGGATTCCAAGGATTTGTACTAACCCTCAGGAGTGCTGTCTGTTTCTTGTGGACCTGGAGTAAGTGGGAGTGGTCCTCTTTATTGAGGTTGTGAAGCTGGAGTTAGTAGCACTGTGAGGCCTCTTAACTCCTGCTGGCCACAGAAATACTCTGCACCTGGTATATTTGCAAAAGGAGTGGCCCAGAACACTATTTTGTTGTTGTTATTATCTTAAATCCCCCTAGATTACCAAATCCAACTAAACAGACAAAGTTACATTAAGTTATAACCATTGAAGTGTGGACAGAAACAGGTGTAGCCTGGGCTTTGGACATCAGGGACCAGGTTCATGGGGAGAGTGGGGCTCTTGGGAGTAGGTGAGGGTGATGTTGAAAATTCACTCAGAGTAGAGATCTGAGCAGGAGGCTTAATGCTTAGTTTTCATCCAGGCACTAGAGCCTCTTCTGTCTGTTGTTGACCAATGGTCTAGTCCATGAGGCCATTAGCCACAAGTCACATGTCTATCCCTGTGGCACCCTAGCCCCACAAAGTCATGTAACACAGTCCCCCAGGTTCCCTGTGCTCCGGCCCTTCTTCCTTAAAGTCCCAGAAGAGATGCTGATCTAACTCCAGGAAGTGTAAAATTCTACTTTCCCTGAAGGATTTGGCATTTCCCAAGGCAGAAACAGTCTACAAGGCCAGATAAGCTTCACTCAGTTCCAAGGATACATAATCTCCTCAGTGTTCCTGTGGTGCATGCCCCCATTTCCCTGCCTTTTCCTCAAGGAGTGTTTTCTTGAGAAGCTCCATCTTCTCCCTTTCAAGGTCCGATGGCTCACTCCCAGGGTAAGTCTTGTCACTGAGGGATATGGGAAGCCTACAAAGGCATTGCAATCAGAGCTGGAGGAAGATGAGGCTTTATTGGTAGGCTTTTCTAGACTTATTTGGATAGTGGCAGCGAATGACCAGATATGCTGAGGAAAATGTGCGGACGGTAAACTAAAGAGTGGAGGCTGTAGCTCAGGGAAGTCTGAGCAAAGAAAGCTTAAAGGCCTGGTGCTCACCTGGGGCCTACTGTGGAGCCTTGGGGATAAATAGCAGCAGGAACCAAATCTGTGCAGCTAGGAGGCCGCTGCAGGGCTGCGGGGAGCCAGCAGCCCTCAGAGGCCTGGGTTGGAGTTCTGTATGGGGAGATTCAGGTTCTGGAAGGGGAGTGAGTCTCTTGACTTGGCTGATCCAGTCAGTGAAGTAGGGGACCCTGGTGAAGACGCTGGGGTAAACGGGATACCGGCACTCCAGGCCCCAGCTAGCCAGTCCTACCAGGACAAATGCACTGATGTGGTAGCAGACGAGGGGTCCCCCAGAATCACCCTAAGAAGAGAGAGTAGTTAGTGTGAGATCTGCTTCAGACCAAAAATACAAATTGCATGTCAGGACCCTACACAGCGGCATTAGGCAAAATGTAGGGGAGGGACACTGGGATTGAACAGCAAGAAGCTCCTAAATCAGTTTCCTGGGTGGATGAGGACAGATAATGAGGTTATAAACATATGGGTTTGCCCTCTGCTGGCCATACATGATATCTACAAGGGAAAGTTTAGAGACTTGTAAGAAAGCTGGTTCTGCTAATAGCTATGTGTAGATCCTGGCTCTGTAAATCTTGAGTTGCCGCAATATATCCAGTCAACTCCTCTGCTTTTGGTCACCTTGGCCTGGAATATTTTTTCAACCTATGAACTAAGACTCTTGAAAAAAAAAATGTCCATTGCCTGGCTGGATGAAGACGGCTCATACCACCAGGCAATGGGCAGGAGTCTTCAGGACACTGCCAAGAGTTACTGGAGTTGTGAAATTCCTCTAAGCAAACCCCATGATGATTATAATGATGACTATGTCAGCTCAGGAGGCTGACTCCTACTGAGATGGGGTGATATTGGAGTTCAAACATCTGGGCCCTGGTTGTGACACTCCAGACTAGCCATTTTCCCTCACTGAGACAATTTCCCCAGACAACCTGTTATGTCCAATAGTGAACTTACAACTATACCATATAAAGAGCTCCTGGCAACCCAACCAGAGAGAGAGAGAGAGAGAGAGAGAGAGAGGGAGAGAGAGAGAGAGAAACTTAAACAAAACCTCACAGAAGACAGCATTTGACAATGAACATGCAAAATACATTTGGCGGCAAGAAAGGGAGATGGGTACCAGGAGCATGCTGAGTCAGCACTAAAAACTTTACGAAACCATTTAGTTACAAATTATGTATTTGAGCTAATCAAGACGGTGGACCCTGGGGAAACTGCTCAATCCTCATTCAGAAAAGCAGATGGGATAGACATCAGGAGAGGGAGAAAACAAGGAACAGGACAGGAGCCTACCACAGAGGGCCTCTGAAAGACTCTGCCCATCAGGGTATTAAAGCAGATGCTGAGACTCATAGCCAAACTTTGGGCAGAGTGCAGGGAATCTTATGAAAGAAGAGGGAAATAAAAGACGTGGAGGGGACAGGAACTCCACAAGGAGAGCAACAGAACCAAAAAGTCTGGGCCTAGGGGTCTTTCCTGAGACCAATACTCCAACTAAGGACTATGCATGGATATAACCTAGAACCCCTGCACAGATGTAGCCCATGGCAGCTCAGTGTCCAAGTGGGTTCCCTAGTAATGGGAACAGGACTGTCTCTGATATGAACTCAGTGGCTGGCTCTTTGATCACCTCCCCCTGAGGGAGGAGCAGCCTTAGCAGGCCACAGAGGAAGACGATGCAGCCAGTACTGATGAGACCTGATAGATTAGGGTCAGATGGAAGGGGAAGAGAACCTCCCCTATCAGTGGACTGGGGGAAGGCCATGGGAGAAGAGGGAGGTAGGGTGGGATTGGAAGAGGATGAGGGAGGTGGCTACAGCTGGGATAAAAGGTGAATAAAGTGTAATAAATAAAAAAAATAATTTTTAAAAAGAAAAACCAAATTACATATTTGTATATGTTATGCCTCAATAAAAAGTATAAAATATGCAACAAAAAGTGTCTGTGAGTGTGAAAGCAAAACAAGGAGACTGTTGAGGCAGGAACCCAAGAAAAACGAGCAGAGGTAATGAGACAGGAAGTGTGGGCATCTCCACAGAGCCTAGAGGACAGTATGGCCAACTCTGGAGGAACTGAGAGAGGACAGGCATGGGGGGTGGCCACATGACTGCCTTACTCACCCGGCAGATGGACTTTCTTGTGGAGAGGCCTCCCGCACATAGCATTTCCTCATGAATATAGTTCAGGCTTTGGTCTGGTGTTCGCCCATACAAGGCATTACAGAACTCATTGTCTATGATGCCCACCTCACCCTCCTGGAGTGAGAATGGTGGTAACAGTTTTGCTGTGAAAATAAGGAGAAGGTCAGTGACTGACACTGTGGCTTAG